AACCTTTTTGAGACAGGGTCTATTTGTGTAGCCCTGGCTGTCTTGGAACTCACTATATATAGACCAGGCTGGCCTCAAACTCACAGAGGTCCACCTAGCTCTGCCTCCTGAGTGCTCAGATTAAAGGCATGTGCTACCATGCTCCACTAAGCGATTTTTTTTTTAATCTCAAAGTAAAATTATATGCACCAGATCTCAATCATGGTTGCTAGAAAAATAGATAAGAAACAAACTAACAGACTTGTGGTACTTTCACATTGTAAATATACTAGTGTCTAATGCAGTAAACCATCCTTGTGCCCGCGTCGCTGGCCTCAGAATTGAACAGCAAGCACAGAAACGGAAAGTTCTAATCACAAGCCAGGCATTGTTCTCAGACCTCTGAGGAGGCTCCTTAACACTCATGGCAGAGCTAAGATACGACGACCGCCACCCTCCAGACGAGCCAACAGCCCCACAGCAGCTACCCATCCACAAAGAGCCACTGCCAGGAGGCTGGCACAGGCAGTCAGGCAATGGCACTCGCAGTGACTTACGTACTCGTTCGTTTTACTGGGCTTTGGTGTAATGGAGCATTCTTAGAGTACGGCTTTCACAAGCCAGATGAGCTCTGCGAAGTGCTATCAAATGGGAAAAACAGACGACAGGACCAGAACACAGGACAACAGTACTGACTAACACAACAGAGCACCGGCAACCTGCCTGCCGGGCACTGTTCTGAGGCTCGAGTATGTGAACTCACAGAATTTCACAGGTACCCTAAGGGGAGGGAAGGTGGCACACACCTGTGATCCCAGTACTTGGGAAGCAGGAGGGTCGCAAGTTTGAGGCCAGTCTGGGCTACATAATAAGATCCTATATTAAAAAAAAAAATCATAAAAGCTAAAGCTAGTAAGGTGTGAGGGTTTCCACATCATTATTCTTGTTTTACAGCTGGGGGTAACCGAGGCACAGGAAGGTTCCTAACTTGCTACAAGGAACAGAATTACTATTTAAGCTCAGGCAGCTGAGTCCAGAGGCCATCCCTTCTGTATTCGCTCCTCTCATTCTCCTACACAGTTTCAGCAAATGTCAGGACTCTGGGAGAAAAGTAAACTGAGGTGCAAGCCTCTATGCCCTGTGGTGTCTCTACACTGGGATCCAAGAACACCTCTCTGGACAGGAATGTTCACGCTGAGACTTGTGGGATGGGAAGGAGCCAGAGAGACAGACTATAGCAAAACACCCAGGCAAAAGACTCATCAAATGCAAAGTCCAGGGGTCAGAAAAGAACTTGCAACTCTAGGAGAACAGAAAACAGGCCAGTATGCCTGAACCTCAGCGAGAGGAAGGCCACACAAGGTACAGTCAGAAAGGTGGGCAAGGGCTGGACATGGTGGCCCATGCCTTTAAGCCCAACAGAAGCAAGTGCATCTGTGTCTGCAGCCACTGCATGTAGTGAGCTTCAGGATAGTCAGAACTACACAATAGAGAGGCCTGGTGGGCAAGGACCACTTGTCTAGATCCCAGCCACCTGGGGGGGGACACATTCTCTGAGGCATCATAAAGCCACCAGCAGCTGCCATGGAGCCATCCTTTATCTGGACACTGTGTATGCCAAAAAAGACAGAGTCGCAATGTCATCTCCCTCCAACCCCATGGCATAGCTTCAGCTCCAGTTTATAAAGTGGTTTGCATGCCCAGGCAGTGACTGGAGAACCACCCTTAGAGTGTTGCCGGGAGTGGGGCTGGGAAGACGGCTCAGCAGTTAAGAGTGTATTTGTTGCTCTTCCAAAAGCCCTAAGAACTACCTGGAACTCCAGAGGATCCAACACCCTCTCCGGCCCAGGCACCCTCATGGTGTGCAGACATACATGCAGGCAAAACACCCATACACAGAAAACTGTTGCTTTGGGGTCAGAGAGGTGGCTCAGTGTCCGAACACAGTCCAGAACTGGAGTTGTGTGGAGACTTCTTGTGAGAGAACTCCAAGAAACTGACAGGAGTCTTGGGACCTCAGTATCTTCAAAACCACAGAACTGGATTGTTCCTGGGCTGTGCTTTCATGCCCCTCCCAGGTATGGCAGACAGGAGTGAGTTCACGTCACATTACGCATTGCGGCTGGGCACTGTCATGTGTGGATCTGCCTCTCTGGAGACACGTTTTTGGCCACATGGGGCTTGCCCTTGTGATTGTGCCCATTACTCATGTGACTCCTCTTAACCCTCAGAGTACAAACTGTTGCTCTGACTAAAGCTGCCTATTGCATGAGACTTTAGTTCACCTCATTTACGGGCTCCATCCTCCCAGGTCCCACCCTGCTAGAGCAGTTAACATAGGAAAAACCCCTTGGGGCTAAGGCTAGCAACTTGAGTTAAAATCCCCAAAACTCACACTGGTGGAGCTGACTCTCAAAAGCTGACATTTGGCCAGCCTGGTCTAGAGTTCCAGGAGAGCCAGGGCCACACATGGAAAGCTTGCCTTGAAAGACACCTCCCCACCCCACCCCCCAAAAAAAAGAGAGTGAGAGAAAGAAAAAGTTAACCTTGGCCTTGGATATTTACACCATGCTACAAAATCTTCCCTAATAAATAAACGTAATATAAAAAAATATTTAAAAAAATGTTCCGCCAGCCTGGCATCATACACACCTAGTGCTTACTAGGGAAGCCAAGGCAGATCTCTGTGAGTTCGAGGCCAGCCTGGTCTGCAGAGCGAGCTCCAGGCCAGCCTGGGATACACAAAGAAACCCTGTCTCATAAAAAAGTTTTACTAATAGCATTCCTTCTAACTACAGTCATTTCTTTCTGAGTTTCAAAATTTGTGGAGGGGTCCTGTACACCCTTCTCTCCGGGGGGCGCCGATAAGATGACCAGACGCCGGAGCCGGCGGGAGAGGGGGCGGGGCCTCCGCCAGGGGGCGGGGCCTCCGGACCCGGCGCGCCCGGGAAGCCGCCCGAGGGGACGGGCGCGGCCGCGACCCCGAGGCGGGACCGAGGCGGCACGGCGGGGCCCCGAGCTGGATCCCCGGGGCGCTCAGGCCTCTCACCCGGTTCTGCACGGTGTCCTCGGGAGCCGCCGCGAGTCGCGTCCTCCGCCGGAGGCAGAGCGGTGGGGCAGGGGGCGGGGAGGACTGGCTTCTCCGCGCCGGAACTCCCGCCATGACAGAGGGCAGCTTCTCCATCGTGTCACTCCGCGTGTAGCCTCCGGCCGCCAAGGCCGCCGTCATCCTGCCCGAGACCAGCCAGCGTCCGTCCGTTACGCCTCCCAACAGCCGCCCGTAAGCCAGCTCCCACTCGAAGAGCAAATGGCCGCGGGAAAGCCGGCGCCGCCGCCCATTGGACGCAGCCGGCAGCCCGCCTGGCCAATCGCGGGGCTGCCGGGCGGGCTCGTTGACCAATGGGAGCTGAGAGGCGGGGCTGAGGGCGGGGCTACGGCCCGTCCGCTTCAGCGCTGGGCCAGTCTCCCGGATGGAGGTGTCGGGTGGAGCTCGAGCGCGTCACCTCCCTGCTCCTGACTGTGCGGGCGCTGAGGGTTAGGCTGGCGCGGGGCCGACTCAGCGCCGGGGCGGTCGGCCGCCCTCCCTCCGCTCGATAGGGGCGTAGCCGTGGTGGCCCGGGGAAAACGTCTGGCACGCATGCGCCCTCAGCTTCCCCGTCACGTGCGGGGACGTCTCCGCGGGGTGAATGCGAGGCGGGGCTGGGGTTGCACGCGGCCGGGGCGGGGCAGGGCTGGGCGGGGTTGGTCAGCGGTGCCCGGGTACTGCAGGGCTCCAGACCGCGCCAGCACTGCGGGACGACCGGGCACGGGCAACCGGCCTGTGAGCTTTCGGCAGGGCAGCGCGGGGCGGGGCGCCGGGAGGGTGGGCACTTGGCCCCGCTCGAGTCTTGGGAGCTGGTGCAAGAGACGGGCAGGTGTGGATAGCTCACTGGTACTGCAGGAGCGGTGGGGTGAGAGGGATGTGTAGACAGAGTCCCTGCCCGTCTCCTGTTCCCCCCACACACACCCCCGTTTTCTGGGGCATCACGTGCTTGGGGTAAGCAACATTGTCTCCACCGCTAGAGAGTCAGCCAGCTCTCTGAAGCCAAGGAATTTTATCTCGTCTCCTGTCAGTCCTCCGTCTAAACTGGAACGTGAAATATTTTAGCCCAGCAAGTCCCTGTCCCAGCCCTCCTTTGAGGGACCCCTGTTCAGGGTAGAGAGGGGCATGACATGTCACCACGGGCATGTTGGCACCCACGTAATCCCAGCACTTGGAGGCAGGAGGATCAGGAGTCCAAGGTCAGCCTTGGCTACATGGTCAGTTAGACTGGTTTGGGTTTCAAGACTACCGAACTCAAAAAGCCAAAATGAAAGCTAGGCGTTGTTTAGTTCACACCTGTAATTTCAGATTTGGGGAGGTAGAGGCAAGAGGATCAGTATTTGAAGATTAGATTAAAAGTTTTAGGGCAAACTGGGTTAAAAACCCAGTCTCAAAACCAAAAACTTTAAAAAATAAATAGCGCTGTAGCACACAAAGGTCATGACAAATCTTGTTCCTGCTATGATTTTTTTCCTTTTTTTTTTTTTTTTTTTAAATGAGACAGGATATCCCTGTATAGACCTGACTATCCTGGAACTCACAGAGATCCTCCTGTGTGCCTCACGTGTGCTGGGATTAGAGTGTGCACCACCATATCTGACTTAGAATTTACAGATTGCTGGGCATGGTGGTTATCTTAGTAAAGGTTTTATTGTATTCTGAGGTCCGCTTAAATCCAACATAAATCCAACATAGCTCAAACACCAAGTCAATGCAGGTGACAAAATTTTATTGTAATCAAGCCTTTACTGATGGACCAGGGTGGCAGAACGGACTCCAGAGCTGAACTGCAGCCCTGAAGGGACAAAATCATGGAGTGACATAAGGAGCTGAGCAAGGGAGTTTCCATCAGTCACGACAGGAGTAGGTTTCTGGGCCTGAGAACATGAACTTGTTTGCCCCTGCCAGCAAGATGGAGAGGTTGTCCTTGAAATGTCTGCACTCAAACAATTGCTTCCTTACAAGTTGTCCCTGAGATATCTCGGCTCAGACAACTGTTTCCTTACAACAGAAGCTGTTCAGCTGTTGGGAAGTCCCCAGCTCCTCTCACGCCTGGGACCTTGAACTTAGCATCTCCCTATGGTTAGAGTCTGAAATGGTGGGTACTTGAAGTAAGTTTCTTTTGTTCATTCCCAACAATTGTTGTGAAGAGACACCATGACCAAGGCACTCCCCCTACCCCAAGACAGGATTACTCTGTGTAGCCTTGGCTGTCTTGGATTTGCTTTGTAGACCAGACTGGCCTTGAACTCACAGAGATCCACCTGCCTCTGCCTCCCCAAGTGCTGGGATCAAAGGTGTGTGCCACCATGCCTGGCTCAAAGCAACTCTTTTAAGAAAAACATTTAATTGGGGCTGGCTTACAGTTTCAGAGGTTCAATGTATTGTCATCGTGGCGGGAAGCATGGTGGCCTTGCAGGCAAACATGTACTAGAGAAGGAGCGGAGAGTTCTGCATCTTGATCCACAGGCGGCAGCAGACTGTGGGCAGCGCTGGGTGTAGCTTGAGCATAAACAGCCCGCCTCCGCAGTGACGTATTTCCTCCAACAAGGTCACCTGAGCGCACCGCTTCCCGTGGGCAAGCACTGAAACCACGAATCTATGGGGACCATTCCCATTCAAACCAGCACAGCGGTGCATGCCTGTAAGCCAAGTTGAGAGGGTCAGGAGTTGAGGTTATCGTAGGTAGCAGGTTCTAGACCAGCCTGGGCTACATGAAACTGGCTCAAAAAACGAACATATAATAAAACCTCACAGGTGAAAGGGTCAGACATTGAAGAAATGAGCATACAAGTGGAATATCAATAATCCTTTCTGTCAGAACCACCGCCCCCAGTTGGAGCCATTAACTCATACTGTAGCTCGCCCTTCAAAGCATTACCTTCCAGCAGTACCCAAAGCAAAATCACTAAGACCTTCCCTGTGCAATCCTAATTGCAGACAGTTGGAAAGATCTCATTCCAAAGTACTTCTCATCACCCTTAACTGGACACGGTGGCAGGTAGCTGCTCACTAATCTGTCCTACAACAGCGATATACATGAAGAGCTTTTCTGGGCCAGGCCCTGCCTGGAACACAGCAGTAATGAGAATGACAACGGCTGTACTCAGCAATGAAATAGCTTCATAAAAACCAAAGTGTTTTGTTTTTCTTGTATGTTTTCACATAAGGTCTTACATAGCCCAGGCTGATCTTGAACTCATGAAATTAAAAATAACGTTAAACTCTTTTAAAGAGGCTGATCTCAGTGAGTTTGAAGACGGCCTGATTGGTGTATATGTGTTGGCTGAGCAGTGGTGGCACATTCCTGTACTCCTAGCACTCAGGAAGAGGCAGGCAGATCTCTTGAGTTGGAGGCCAGCCTGGTCTACAAAGCGAGTCTAGGACAGTCAGGGCTACACAGAGAAAGTCTGTCTTGAAAAACCAAAATAAAATAAAATGACAATAATAATTGCCTTGGTTAGGGTTTCATTGCTGTGAAGAGACACCACGACCACGGCAGCTCTTATGAAGGAAAACATTTAATTGGGGCCGGCTTACATTTCCCAGAGGCTTAGCCTGTCATCATGGCGGGAAACATGTCAGTGTCCACACAGACATGGTGCTGGAGGAGCCAAGAGCTCTACATCTTGATCCACAGGCAGCAGAAGACTGTGTGCCACACTGAGCGTGGCTTGTGCATAGGGGACTTCAAAGCCCGCCCCCACAGTGACACACTTCCTCCAGCAAAGCCACACCTACTGCTCCCTGTGGGCCAGGCAGTCACACACTTTTATAGTCTATGGGGGCCACACCCACACCTATTCAAACCACAATAATATGAAAGAAAAATGACTTCTTTGTTGGTGACTGCCGGGCTGTTCGTCTCACAGGCTGGCCTGTTTCCGTCTTAGAGCCTGCACCGAGTTGGTCTTGGGTAAGAAGCCATTTACTTAAGCTTTAGATGAAGACCAGCAAGGTGGGTGAAAGTGTTTACTGTGGAAGCCTAGTGACCTGCGCTCCATCCTTGAAATCCGCAGTGGAAGAAGAGACCCCACCAATCCCTGAAGGTTGCTCTCTGCCCCTCACACATGTAGACATGGTTGGGGTGCATCGGTCCATTCCCTTTCCCAACACTAATAGTAATAACTTCTTAAAAAGGGAAGAGGAGCCAGGTGGTGCACTCCTTTAATTCCTCCTCAGGAGGCAGAGGCAGGCAGATCTTTGTGTGTTCAAGGCCAGCCTGGTCTACCACCCTCCCGCATCCCCCAAGAAGGAGAGGAAAAACAATGTTTCCCAAAGAGATTCAAGAGCAGGCTTGGTTCCAAGTGGGAAATAAGGTGAAAAAAAAAAAACAAATGAGAAATGGCTTCTAAGAAGTAAATCGAAAGCCTGCCTGGGAGTCAAAGAAAACATTAATTCTTTTTAGGTCCTTTTGGGCTTTGTTCTAGAGGCTTTTTTGTTTGTTGTCTTTTTTTGTTTGTTTTGTTTCTGTGTAACAGAGTCCTGGCTGTCCTGGACAGCCTGTAGACCAGGTCGGCCCTGAACTCACAGAGATCTGGATGCCTCTGGCTCCTAAGTGCTGGGATTACAGGTGTGCACCACACACCCTGTGTCCTAGGGGACTTTTATTTTTTTTTAAGATTTATTTATTATCTGTACAATGTTCTGTCTGCATGTACACCTGCATGACAGAAGGGGGCATCAGATCTCATGACAGATGGTTGTGAGCCACCATGTGGCTGCTGGGAATTGAACTCAGGACCTCCGGAAGAGCAGGCAGTGCTCTTAAGCTCTGATCCATCTCTTCGGAGCCATTCCTAGGAAGCCCGTTCAGTGGTAGCTTTGTCATTATCGGTGCCCAGCAACTGCAAAGAGGCTGCGGTTGTGGTCTTCGAGCCGTAGGTCTACACCCTGAAGAAATTGCTGCTTATGTTGGTGAGAAAGGACAGACCTTTGGAGCATGTTGTCGGTCCCCTAAATGTGACCAGCCAGGCTGACTTGGGTGACAGAAACGTGAACACTTGTCCAGTTACCGCGGGTGTTCAGGGGGAGGGCCGGCCATCACAGTGCTGCTAGCTAGAGGAATAGGAGAGAAAAGGACGAGGCCACGTTGTAGAGAGGTTTCCTTATGCTACTCATTTTTCCTCTTTGTTCTTTGAACCATTTGGATTCTGCTGGAGAGCCCTTTCTCATTTCCACATCCCACACCACAGGAAAGCATATATTGGCCAGAACACAGGTCCATGACTCACCTGCAATAGACTTTCCTCAGGAAATGCTCACGACCTCAATAATTGCACTCTCGTTAGGAAGGAAAAAGAAGAGGGTGGAGGCTGTGGTGGTCAGCTGGCAGGCTTTTGTGCAGAGAGGGAAAGGGTGTTGTGTCGGGAGCTCTCATGCCTGTGTCCAGGAAGCACAGGGTTAGTGAGGACATTTGGCTCCCAGATGGAGGCTGAAGGGACTGCGACATCCAGACTCCCTCCTGGCTGTGTGCCCTGGAGCTCTGCTGTGTGTGCCACAGTGTGTCTGAGTCAGCCTTCTAGCCTCTGACCTGTAGCCCCTGCTCTACCTGGCCTTTGTCAGGGAAGTCTTGGCCAGTCACCTGTCCGTCCTACCGACTTCCTCACTAGTACTCTTTTTAAGTTTTCACCTTGCCTTTCCGCGTTCCTCTGGCTGGCTGATTTAGCTTTAGTATATAGCCTATCCTGGCCTGTAACTTGCTAAGTAGCCCAGGCTAGCCTCAAGCATGCAGTCCTCAGCTTTTTCCTCCCAAATCCTGGAATTGCGGTAGTGTCACCATGCCCTCCTTGCTATGACGTTTTGTACAAATATAAGCAAAGGTGAACGAGCATTCTTATTTCCCTTTGATTACGGTATTACTTTTTATAATGTACGTGTGTCTCTGTGTCTGTGTGTGTGTATGCCACATGTGTCTAGGTGCCCACAGAGGGCAAAAGAGGGCACAGAATCCCCGGGAACTGGAGTTACGGGCACACTTGAGCCACCTGCTGTGGGTTCTGGAAACAACTCCAGTCCTCTTCAAGAGCAGCAAGCTCTTCTAACCACGGAAACATCTCTCCATATACCCTCCCTACCCGCCCCAGTCAGTTTTGTTTGTTGTTTGTTTTTAGACAGCTATAATGGAAGTTTTGGGTTGTTTGTAAAATCAGTTATATGTTTTTGTTTTAATCTCAAGTATGGGATTTTAGTTTGGACTTTAGTTTGTCCACAGCAGGGGTGTGGTCTCTGACAGCTGGTAACCGCCTACCCTGTGCAGGATGGGGAAGGGCGTGGTCAGTCTATGGCTCTGAGGATATAAATATGAGACCTCAGAAAGAACAAGTGTGGCATGAGGTGATGGTGGGTGCCAAGGGGCAGTTTGGAGAGACCAGATACATAAGGTGTGGCAGCTTAGAGATGGATGGAGAGAAACGTTTCAACACTGTGGCTTGGAGGAGACTGCTGGCTACATTTGCTATGGGCAGGGATTGGTACAGCCTCCAAAGAACCCATCGACTCTAAACATCTGGGAGAAGTAAAGGGGTCTGCGCCCCTTCTCCCTACGAACCTTCTCTCTCCTACCTAGGGTTGGGAGGTTAGAAGGGAGAGGCTTTAAGGAATCCCAAATAAAGTAGAGTTTAAAAATGAGCACAACAGACAAGATCTCACTACATAGCCCTGTCTGGCCTGGAACTTGTTATGGAAAACAAGCTGACTTCAAACTCACAGGAATCTGCCTGTCTCTGCTTCCTGCCTGCTGAGATTAAGGGCATACACCACCACCCCTAGCACTAGTTTTCCTTTTGTGGTGTCATTTCTCTTTTATGTGCCTTTTTTTTGTTGTGGTGGTTTTTCCTCCCAGCCCCCAACTCCCAGAATAATGACTCATGACACTCAAACTATTTTTTGAGTATTTTTATTTACAGATGCCTGAACCATACAGCTAGGCTCTTCTCTGAATAGTTCATAACTTAAAATAACCCACTTTACTAGTCAACATTTTGCCACATGGCTGGTTACCTCTGCTCAGGTACCACGGGTCTGCTCTCCTGCATCTTGCTCTAACCCAGCATCCTTTCTGTCTGCTAGATGGCCCATCTCCCATTTCCTGCCTCAGCCATAGACCATCGGATTTATTATTGACAGGTGAAGTTTCCATATAGACACAAGATATTTTCTCAATAATTTTTTAATATTAAAATTGATCAATTTCAAGAGAAAGCATTAAAGAAATCGGTGTGGAAAACCCTGTGTGAGTGATCTAGGGCTGTGTGACAAAGTAGCTCCATCTTCAGTGGCTGAGGATAAATATTTAATGCTCCATAGTTTCTGGCAGCGTCGTTCCAGAGGGCGAACTAGCCAGAACTCAGTCATGTGGAAAGCAGGAAACTGAACGCCCTGTGCTCTCGCCTCGGCCTCCTGAGTGCTGGGATCCACAGTTCCCGCCGCCTTTCCCACTCTATTTCAGAAGCAGAAACCAGTCCAGTGACCACGGTTAGCCACAGTGATTTCTGTGTGTATGTACACACACATGTGCAGGTGCCAGAGGTCAGTGTCTGGAGTCCTCTATTACTCCCTGCCTAATTTTTTTTTTTTTTTTTTTGAGACAGGGTCTGTCGCTGAACCTGAAGATCACCATGTTGGCTGCACTGGGTGGCCAGCAAGCTCCACCTGTCTCCACGGCAGCTGTGCTCTGCCATTCCCTGCTTTTATGTCGGCTCCGGGGATCCAGACTCATCCTCATGCCTGCACGGCAAGCGTTTCATCCAGGGTGCCATGTCTCCAGCCCCACAGAACCAAACCCTTACAGCTGTCCAAGCTAGTTCATCGCGTCTTTCTCCAGTCATCTGACACTGTCTCCATCTTGCATTTAGCTTCATGTTTTATCAGTTTTTTTATTACATTTGCTTGTCTATTTATGTGTGTGAGGTCGAGAGGGGAGATCAGAAAGTAACTTGCAAGAGTGAGTTCTCTCTGTCCACTGTGGGGGTCCTCAGGCTTGATGGGCCCCTCTGTTCACTGAGTAATCTTGCTGGATCTTGCATGTATGTATGCATGTGTGTGTATGTATGTACATATGTATGTATGTGTGCATCCATGTCTGTATATATGTACACATGTATGTGAATATGTATATACATGCATGCATGTATGTACGCACATATGTGTGTGTGCATGTGTGTATGTATGCATGTATTTTTGAGACAGAGACTCAACCTTGCTTTGTAGCTAAAGACGACCTTCAAATTGGACTTCAGATCCTCCTGGCCCGCAACGACCACACCCAGTTCATCTGGTGATGGAGGTGAGCCCAGGGATTTGTTCCAGGTACGTAGTACTCTACAAATGAGCTATATCCCAGGCTATTTTTTTTTTGGGGGGGGGGGTTATTACTGTGTAGCTCAGGCTGGCTTGAAATGCTTGGTAATCCTCCTGCCTCAGCCTCCCTAATGGTGGAATTACAGGTGTGTTCTACCATGTCCAGCTGTAGGGAAACCAGCCAGAGGCTGTCGGTGGGCAGCCGTGGTAGAGCCCAGCTGAAAGAGGGAGGAGAGTCGGGATGAGAGGAGCGGTGGAGGCAAGTTGGTTGATGCTGGAGAGCCCCGAGAAGGACTGAGCAGGAGAGAGCCAGTCTGGGTGGGGGGCACGAAGCTGGAGCTCAGGTTCCTTGGGTGTGAACCCCTCGGGTCAGGGAGCATGGGGACCTGTGCACATACCCGGCAATTCCGCCACATTGCCGGTTCCCACTGCAGGATGGTTCCAGGCTGCAGGCCTGGCTGTGGCACACGGGCCACAAACGCCGGGTACGCAGCTGCCCCAGTGCTTGTACAGGGAGCATTTCACATCCTGCTGCTTCCGGCAGTGATGGGAAGTTCACTGCCTGCCTGCAGCCCGATGTGGCAGCCTCCACCTTCTCCAGGGCATCAAGCTACAAGGTGAGGAGGCTGTAGAGTCTGGGCCCCATCCTTGCCCACCTGGGGAATACCCATAGAACGCTGACTCCTGCACCCTCCCCCCAGAGGCAACTCCCTCTTCCAGAGCCAAGAACCAGGAGTGCCGAGAAGCCTGTGGCACTTCTACTGGGCAGGAGGTTTCCTCTGTGTCCCTGGAGCCCAGCAGCACAGCCTCCGGCCCAGTGTATTCCCCAGTGTTGAGACCTGCATCCCGAGGCCCTGAGGCAGCAGCCACCGTGCTCCTGACCCCCTTGTTCCTCCCACTTGGTCCCTCAGGGCCAAGGCCTGGAGCCCCCGATCAGCACCCACAAGCTGGCTGAAGTCTGCTCTTGGGGCACTGCAACAGCGAGATCCCGGGTTGCAGAGGCACCAGACACAGCTGCGAGCTTTGGAACAGCTGGCGCAGCAGCTGCACAGGGAGAGCCTGCTGGCCTGAGCACACAGCAGTCCCTTATGCTGGGTGAGTGCCATGGGGACTCATACCAAGGGTGCTTGCTCTGCCTGTGGGGTCTCCGCTTTAAGCCAGGGCCCAGTGCCTAAAGGGCCTTCCATGCCTTCAGGTAGGAGTGGCGTTATGGCAGAGTGCTTGCCTATAAGGGCCAGGCCCTGGCTTCCTTCCAGCAACAGCTAAACAAAACAGGCCTTGAGAATTGGTGCAGGCCTGAAATCTCAGCAAGTGGGAGGCAGAGAGTCAGGAGGGTGACAGCAAGCTCAAGGCCAGCCTAGGCTGTGTGTGGCCCTGTCGAACAAGCAGACACTAAAATCTGCTAACACCGGGCAGCCATCAGGCAGAGGTGGGAACCGGCTGCTCAACTGAGGCATAATTAGGAAACACGTTTACGGAGCATGTTCTCCACGCCAGAATGTGACTTACTGAAAACCGCTGCCGCTGCTCTCGTGCCACTTTCCAGATCGAAGAGCACAGAGTTCTAACTTGCCCAAAAGCAGGTAGGCATAAAACTGCAGAACCAGGAACCTGGCCGGGGCATGTGGCTCCGGAAGGAACTGTCCTACTGGGGACAGAGCTCAGACTGAGGCCTGGGCTTCTCCATGGAGCTTGCTGGGGTCCCTGGGGTGACATTGCTTCTCTCTGCTTTCCTGTCCCCATTCAGTCTTTGCCAGCTACTAATTCATCCTATCCTGCCATCTCCTCCTGTTATAGGTGATTTAAAGTATGAGCCAATAATGCTTAATATTAGCCCTATAATTATTACGGCAGCATTATCCAAACCACTATTATAATCCATGAAAGACACGGACACCTGATAGATTTTATAATAGCCTTATTTTACCTGGGGCATGGCAGATTTTACCTCCTAAGCTACCTTCACCTGCCAAGCCCCATCCCATCCCATCTGCTCTAATAATTTCTATTTGGGCTACTTCCCACCCATAATTCCGTAAATACTTGCTTATTCTCTCATCTGGGCTGCCTTCTCCATCGATGCCATCCGGCCATGTGCTCCTCCCACACGAACTGAAGGGCTCCTCTGTCCTTCCTCCGGTACCTGTCTCCTTCTTCCCCAAAGCCCACGAACCTCAGCCACACCCCTCACTTCTGCTCTGCCCAGATGTAGGCCTTTTTAATCAGGGATAACTGGGGAACATTCCTTCTCATTACATTGGCACAGAGATAGTTCAACCTCAATAACAGTGCCCGTGGCAGGGAGGTAACCAGATCCCAGGCGCTGAAATCAGCGTAGGAAACACAGTCGGCCCTTCCTCCCACATCCTGCACATTCACCGCCTTTCCTGCTGCCCCTGCCTTGCCGCGCTCCACCTGTGTGCCCTTCCCCATGCCCCTCTTCATCTATCTCTCCATGTCTTTGTCTCTCCTTGTTGGTTCTCCCTGCATCTACCCTCCCACCCTCCCCCACGACTGCCTCCGGCCTCACAGCTGCCGCCTCGAGTCCCCACATCTTGCCATTCGTGCATTGCTGCTTTTGACATCCCCGGCCCTCCTGTTCCTCACAGTATGCCCGCCTGTCTTCCCTGTGTCCCGTCTCCACCACTGCTCGCCCGAAAGTCCCAGCTACCTGGACCTGAGGAGTCTCAAACCTTCTCCACCATCTGTGGAAGGCCTGACACAGCCATGGTCCTTGCCCAAGGCCCTATATCTGCCACCCTGGATGCTAACCCGAAGCCCCCAGCCAGTCAGATACCCAGTGCGGATCGGTCAGAGTGACAATGCTGAGAGACAGAAGATGGAATGAGAGTTATCATCACACTAGGCACTGGCCCGGCATGTGGCCCTCACCCGGGGAGGACGTCACACTTGAGCTCTGTGTGTGACCTTGGACTAGGTCGCCCAGCATGCAGCCCTCGTTCCTGGACGGCCCACATCCTCCGGACCACATGCCCTGCCACCCCAACACAAACCTTGGCAGTCAGTAAAACAAGCCCTGAGCACAGCAAAGGTCATGTGCTTCAAGGGTTGCTGTGCCAAGCCTGCTGTGGGGTTGGGGCCACAGCAGTGAGCACTGCCCCAAACCATCACCTTTGAGTCCGTGTCTGCTTGAGTAGAAGGTAACTAGTAAACCAATAAACCAGATGGCTTCCGACTGATAAAGAGGTGTGACAGGCAGCAGGGTGCCTCTGGCATCTGGGTGGAGGGAGAGCCTGTCTGGAGGGTCATTGGAAGGACAACTGCGGGGGGCCCCACCGCGTGGGTCATCAGGGTTATGGCGGCAGGACTGCTCTACCAAAAACCTGGGGGGTCGGTGCAGCGTTTGTAAGGAGAGCAAGGATGTCATCGAAAAGGTTCTGGCAGGGAAAGGCAAAGGCAAAGGTAGAGAGGTGACAGGGCCACTGTGGGCTATGGTGGACCACACTGGCCAGTGGGCGTCTGTGGGTGGTAGTGGTGGAGGAGGAGGAGGAAGGGGTTGTGGTTGGTTCTTGCTATGCGGCCCAGGTGGGCTCTGAGTCACAAGGCCTTCCTCTTCGGCCTCCTAAGTGCTGGAGTTGTAAGACTGCAGCTGCTAGCATTGGCTGGGGCAAGCGAAGGTGCCTGAGTCAGGGGGAGCCCGCCTTCCCCCACCCCGATGTGGGACATGTTAGTAGGAAGCCAGTTCAGCCAGGCTGCTGAGGAGTTGCTGCTGCCCAGGGGGAGAGGGTAAAATTCTGGAACTATCCAAGAGGGAGTTCCCGGTCTGCCCGTTAGAACGAGGAGGTGGAGGGCGGTGGCCCGGCCAGGGTGATGTGGGGTGCAGTAGGCAAGGCCAGCCCAGAGGTGAGGCTGCGGTGATCCTAGGCTGGAAGTGATAGATATTTTTAGAGGCCAGTGGGCCCCCTGCGACCATGAAGCTTGGTAGCTTCAGCGCCACCACCCTTGAGCAGGTGGCTTACTGACCTGTCTGTCCTGAGTGACGATAAGCGTGAAGACGAAGATAATTTAGGAAGAAAATAGCCCTCTGAGACGGCTTACGTGGGGCAAGCATAGAAGGGGTTAGGGCTGAGGTTCCAGCCGACGGAAACACCCAGCCCCAGACTCAGACCGTTGCTCTCACCGGCCTGGTTCGCTGTGTGGAGGGAAACACCGCGTCTGTCTTCCCGCCCATCTCTTCTCAGTCCTTCTCTCTACCTCACCCCTCTCCAATCTCTATGCTTGTCACATCCTTCCAGGGCCCGTCTCCCCTGGCTCTGGAGATCCCGAGCCGTCTAGCCCCTACCCGCTGCCTCCAGCCTCTCTCAGCATCTCCTCCCCCCCCCCCCCCCCCCCTTCCCACCCCGCCCCTCCCCCCCCCGCCCCCCCTCCTCCTCCCCCCCCCCCCCCCCCCCCCTCCGCCAGCGTCTGGGCCTCAGCCCCTTCTCTCTGTCTCCCTCTCCTCCCCCATCTGGTACCCCGACACTGACACCCCGTTACTCCCGCCGTCTCTTCAGTCCCAGCCTTGCTCCCCAACCCGCGCCAGCCGAGGTAAGATGGAAGGCTGGGGAGAAGGGGAGGGGCGAAGCATCCTGCATCCCTAGATAAACAAACCCCGGGAGGGGGCGGCGGAGACCCAGGGGCCTGGCACCCGAAGAAAAGAATGGGAGGCTGGGCCTGAAGGAGGTGGCCCGCGTTGGGGCGCGTATCCCTGTGTTTTCTAATGAGTAACGGGGACCACTGTGGTTGCCCGAATCCAGAGCCGAGGACTAGGGGGGGCCACCCGTGGTTCTTGGAGCTTCCGTGGGCTCGGATCCCCCCGTGCTGTGGGGCGCCCTCTCTAGCTGACCTCTATCTTCAGGATTTGCCTCCAGGCCACCCCCAACTTTGCAGCGGGCCCCCCAGGGCTGCCGAGGACTATGACTAAGACAGATCCTGCCCCGATGGCCCCTCCGCCCCGGGGGGAGGAGGAAGAAGAGGAGGAAGAGGACGAGCCGGTTCCAGAGGCCCCCAGCCCCACCCAGGAGCGCCGGCAGAAGCCGGTTGTGCACCCCTCAGCACCCGCTCCGCTCCCCAAGGACTACGGTAACCACTGTCCCCACCCTGGAATCCGCGCACCCAAAGCTCCAGCTTTCGGGGACGGTGGCTTGGCTGAGCTGGGTTGGGGGGGGCATGCTCAAGGTGGTCCTCGGGAGTCTTAGCCGCAGCAGAGCCCTTCGATCGCTCCCCTTCGCCAATTACAGTCGTCTGTTAGGGGACGGGGTTGGAAAAATCCTAGTCTTCCATTCATGACCTGCCAATTCAGTCATTCAGTCATTCAGCAAACACCGTACAACAAGCTACCGCGAACCTAACTTTGTGCTAGGAAGTGGGGCCACAGCGCAGAGCAAGGTTCTCCTCAGGCTTGGCCCAGAGGACTCCCAGGCCCCAATCACGGCCACACGGGTGAGGCTAAACATGAAATTCCAGGAGACCACGAGATTGCTTTTCTCCAGGGCAGCGTGCTGCAAGAGCTCTTAAAGGCAAGGAGGTACCATGTAGGGAAGCCCCAGGTTGGGGTGGGGAGGAGGCGGCTACAGGAGAATTCAACACAGGAGCCAGAGGTTCTGAGTGGTGTGAGGCAGGAGCTGAGAGCAGCTAGGGGCCCGGGGTGTCTGTCCATTCATGGAGGGCTGAGGACCTCCGGCTTCGTGATGAGGTTCCAGGTGTGAGCATTGCTCCGAGAGACCCAACAAATGAAGGTCCGTGTTACCTTCCCTGTGCACAGCGGAGTGCGTGCCGTCGAAGCATCAAAAGGCAGAGACTTGCAGCCAGCGTGAGGCATGGGTAGTGGGGCTGGCCGTTGTGAGTGGGCGAGTCGCAGACTGAGGTCCAGAGCGTGAGGAGGAAGCAGTTGTAAGCAGCCTGGAGCAATAGCTCCAGGTGGAGAAGAGTAGATGCAAGGGGCCGGAGGCAGAAATGAGTTCGGGGTGGGAAGACCCCAAAACTGCATTTAGGGGGCGTGATCAGAACGGTGCAGTACGACCTGGGGTCAGATCTGGAAGGGACTTAAAGGCCATTCCAAGGACGTCTCCTAGATTCTGAGTGTGAAAAGGAGAGAGCGGTGTATGCATAACCTAAAAATAGAGGGGTGACAGGGTTGACGGACAGCCTCGATGTTGCATTTTCAATTGATGGCGTGTGAGTGTGTGTGCGCATGTGTGTGCCACAGCGTGCATGTGGCGGTCGGAGGACATTTCAGTAGTTCTCTTCTTTCACCTCAGGAGTCCCGGGTCATGGGGCTTGGTGACAAGCTAGTGCCTTTACCAGCAGAGCCATCTGAGTGGCTCTTGGCTGAGAGATGGAGGTCAGCCGGGGGCGGGCTCGAGAACCTCTCCAGAGAAGGTCTTTCCATCACCTGTGAGATCAGAAACTAGTTCTGGGTTCAGGAGGTGTCGCCTGTGGAGGCGCCACCCAGCAGAGGTAGATCAGAGCGACGGATTTCAGTCTGATTAGAAAAGTGAAGAGTATTCGCTGGAGAGATGGCGTGGTTGGGACAGCCCTTGCCATGCGTGTGTGGGGCTGCTGGCAGCTGTACTCTGCTGTGGAGGAATCAGACACCGGGGGGCACCTGGGCTGACCCTGTCTCAAAAGCAAGGTGCCCAACAGAGGAAGACAATGTCAACTGCCACATCCACACTGCACGCTCTCCGTATGTGTGTTCAGAGACACACACACACACACACAGACACACACAGACTCAGTACTGGTTGGGAGCTTCAGGTGTAGTCGGAGAGTCCACCCCAGGAACTCAGAAAAGCATTAGAAATTGAACTGGCCCTGGCTGGAAGTCACAGAGCCTAGGCTAGGCCCTCGGAGTAGTCCTGCTTGTAGAACAAAGGATGGGGAATGTGGCTTGTTCCAGAGAGAAAGCTAAAGGTGTGTTCAGTGCGAATGTCACTTCCGAAGAGATCCGCCAGGCCTTCCCTGCACGCTAGGTGCAGCAGGCATGAGGTGGGCACACCCAGCTGTGAGGAAGAAGGCCCAAGGACGGCAGGACAGAAACAGTGTTTACATGAAGTGTTTCAGCGAATGAGAGGAAAAGAGGACAGAGAAGAGAAGGGCTTGGGGGTTCAGCAGCAGAGAGCATGCTTAGTTCAAGTGGATTCTATCCCCAGCAGAGAGAGGAAGAGGAGAGAGGGAGGAGAGAGGGAGGGTTGAGGAAGAAACAGCGAGGAGGGACTGTGCTAGCCGTGTTCGGTGTTTGCATTATGCCAAGACACATAGAGCATGTCCAGGAGGGCAGGGCCGGCAGGCCAGACCGGGTGGAGTGAGGCCTGTCTGTGGAGGAGATATCCGCAAAGATCTGTGAAGCCTCATGAAGGCCCGAGGGAGGGCTGCCCACACGGGCCGAGGGCAGTGCAGAGAGGCGAGAATTTGCTTGGCACATTGGAGGAACAGAAGGTCAGTTGGCTGAAGGGGACTCAACAGAGGAAAAGAGCGGGGAGCATGGAGAGGGCCAGATTGAACAGAGCCTCGTGCACGGCAGGGAGGCCTTTGGCCTGCACTGGGAAAGGATGGGAGCCAGAGGAAGGTTCCGAGCCAAGAACGGCTGTGACGCTAGTGAATGGGGAGAGATTCCTGACTCATGGTCCGTGGGTACACACACACACGCATACACACACGCTGAGGCCCCTGCTGCGTGCCACCAGGAGCAATACTTACCAGCCTCCCATTGGAGAAACAGACATGCCTTTGGGCACCACCCCAGCTGGCCTCAGGTTCGCGGCTCCGTTTCCTATATGCTACACAGGGCCTACCTTTTAAAAGATCTACTATTTTATTATTTTTTAAGTTACACGTCTGCCTGTGTGTCCGTGTGTGTGGACACACACACACACACACACACACACACACACAAAAGAGTGCGGGTGCCTGCAAAGCCCAGTGGTGTCAGGCCACCCTGGACCAACACAGCAGTTGTGGTGAGCACTGGGAACAAACCCCAAGTCCTCTGTAAGAGCAGCCTGCAGCCTTAACCACCGAGTCACCTCCCCGGTCCCCAGGCCCTGGACTGTCCAATTTCTCAAGACACTGGCTATCTGTGTGTTACCCATTCAGTGCCCTCTTTATTTTGAAACCCGCTGACTGTCCAGAAAACACCTGTGGGTTGGCTTCGGCCTGCGTACCCCTCAAGCTCCAAAGGGGGAGGCAGCTTGCCCAGGGTGACTCTTCACTTCTTTTCCCAGCTTTCACCTTTTTCGACCCCAATGACCCTGCCTGCCAGGAAATTCTGTTTGACCCGAAGACTACCATCCCAGAGCTGTTCGCCATCGTCCGCCAGTGGGTGCCGCAAGTCCAGCACAAGATAGACGTCATTGGCAATGAGGTAGGCGCCCTGTGGGAGGCTGGGGAGCGGGGAGACCCGGTTCCGCCGTGTTTGGGTAATCCTTTGCGGTCATGCGGTACCCACAGATTCTGCGTCGTGGCTGCCATGTGAATGACCGTGACGGGCTCACGGATATGACCCTGCTCCACTATGCGTGCAAGGCTGGGGCCCACGGAGTCGGTGAGAGCCCAGACCCCAAAACCACCGCGGCCCCGGGCGCATCCGGAGCCGACTAAGACCCCAGAGTGCAGAACTGAGATACTAGGGCCCCTCTCGACACTCTGGGGCTGACCCTGGCTCTTTCGCAGGGGACCCTGCGGCCGCGGTGCGTCTCTCACAGCAGCTGTTGGCGCTGGGCGCAGACGTGACCCTGCGCAGCCGCTGGACCAACATGAACGCGCTTCACTACGCAGCCTATTTCGACGTGCCCGACCTCGTGCGCGTGCTTCTGAAGGGGGCGAGGCCCAGGGGTGAGAGGGCGGGGCCCGGCGGGGCGAGGGTGGAGTTTCTTGGAAGGCGGCGTACGCCCAGGCTTTTGAGAGCAGGGGTAAGGGGAAAAGACCAAGATAAAAGGATAAGGACCGAGGCCTAACCCTTAAGGGTGAAGGGATCCAGACAGGAAGCAAGGGATAGAGGGACGAGGTGGGGGGGGAGGGGGCGGGGGTGGTGATGGTTGGTCCGGGGACGGGGTGACATGGGGACGGATAACCGTGGGATGGAAGGGCCAGTTGGGCAAGCTGCCCAGAGGCAGGGGTCCCCGAGCCGGGGGTGGGGCCTCATGCAGACGTAGGAGGTGGCTCGCTCCTCACCCTCCCCTCCCCTTTCCTCGTCCCAGTGGTGAACTCCACCTGCAGCGACTTCAACCACGGCTCAGCTCTGCACATCGCCGCCTCGAATCTGTGTCTGGGCGCCGCCAAGTGCTTACTGGAGCATGGCGCCAACCCAGCGCTGAGGGTACTGCACCCCTTCCTCTCCTCCCTCCTGCCCCCCCCCCCCCCCACAGCAGGCCTCCACGGAGGTTCCCACCAGTGTTCACTGTGCAGCAGGTCACCCCTACTTACCCCGTTTTACACCCGCGAATCCGAGGTAGGGAGAAGAGGATTGCCCAGGATGCTCTAGAGAGGGCGTGTTCGTTTCTTGCAGAACTGCTTGATCAGGATCCATGACGTAGCACGTCCCAGCCTAGAGTCCCGGAGGGTGACTCTGACCTGCGTCTTTTTTGTTTGTTTGGTTTTGAAATAGGGTCTCACTCTGTACGTAGCTCTAGCTGGCCTGGAACTCTCTGTGTAGACCAGGCTAGTCTCAAACCCTCAGAGATCTGCCTGCCTCTCCCTGGCTGGCCGGGAACTCTCTCTGTGCTTGGTAGGCATGCACCACTACACCCGGGCCACGTTGCATTTCTCCGTTTCTTCCTGTTCCCAAATCGGCCTAGGGTGTAGCCTAGCATAACTCCTGCTTCACCCAATCCGGGGGGGTTAGGGTGTGGTTTCCAAAGGGGTATGTATGGCTTGGCATACTTAGTCCCTATCTGTCCCTATTCTGTCTGACCCACAGAATCGAAAGGGACAGGTGCCAGCGGAAGTGGTCCCAGACCCTATGGACATGTCCCTTGACAAGGCCGAGGCGGCCCTGGTGGCCAAGGAACTTCGGACGCTGCTAGAGGAGGCCGTGCCACTGTCCTGCACCCTTCCCAAAGTCACACTCCCCAACTATGACAACGTCCCGGGCAATCTCATGCTCAGTGCGCTGGGCCTGCGTCTGGGAGATCGCGTGCTGCTGGACGGCCAGAAGGTCAGCGGCTGGGATGAGGGGGTGGGGGGGAGGACTCGGCTCTCCCATCCCCCCAGAAGCTGGGCCGCAGGCAGGCTGTCCCCCTTACACACCTGTCAGATGTCACCATACTTTATTCTCCATGTTGTTGTGAACAACACACAGAATAGTGCACATACAGTACGCTCCATTTGTGCCGTTTGTACCCCGTGCTGAGCAGGAGGCAGACCTGCCCCTGGCAGTGACAGCCCAGTGCAGCCATGTCTGAAACAGTGACCAGCATAGCTCTCTTGCCTCCCCGTGCCTCCCCCTGAAAGGCTTGTGCAAAGTCAGGGCTTTGACTGGGACATTAGGTGGATCTCGGCGTGAGGCTTACATAGAAGGGAGAAGAGGGGCAGAAAGTGCCTTGGGTTAAGTTAAAGCAGGTGGGGGTGAGGAGAGGCAGAGAGAATGCACCTCTGTCCAGGCACCTTGGCTTTCCTTCGCTTGCCTGGTGTCCCTCATGCCAAGCCCGGCTGTTCCTTAGGACGGAGGGTCCCATCGGCCCAGCTCTGTTCTCATGGAGTTCTGCTGGAAATGAGTAGAGGCAGGAAGTACTGCATCAGCTAAGGTCATTTCCGGTGGCAGCAAGGACTGTGAAAAGCATTCAGTGCGTGGATTTGGGGAACTGACCTTGGCTGGAGGCAGGAGAGGGGTTAGCTGGAGTGTTCTGAGAGGGCTTCCCGGAGGAGGTGATATCCAAGCTCTGAGAAAGTAGCTCACACAGTTAAACTGCTGGTAGCAAGGAACAGGGTGAGAACAGAGGGATTATGGGGCAGGAGGGTAGTATGGGAGATTAGAAGGGGGCGGATCACACTGGACCTGCAGACCTCTGGAAGGGAGTAAAGCAGGGTTTTGTTTTGTTTTTTTAAGATTTATTCATTTATTATGTATACAATGTGTGTTTGTATGTACACCTGCAAACCAGAAGAGGGCAGCAGATCTCATTATAGACGGTTGTGAGCCACCATGTGGTTGTTGGGAATTGAACTCAGGACCTCTGGAAGAGCAGCCAGTGCTCTGCTGGATTTTGTTTTTTATCCAGTGGTAAACTGTGTAACTCACATGTTATCTCCTGACCAAAAGCTCCTGGGGCCCATGAGATGGCCCAGAGGTATGGGTGCTTGCCATACAGATCTGGCAGCCTGAGTTCAAACCCCAGGATCCTTGTGAAGGAGAACTGACGGCACAAAATTATCTTCTCGCTCCCACACGTGAACTATGGCTTGTGTATCCCCCGTCTACATCGTTCACACATGTGCATGCATGTACACGATACAGATAATAATTAATAATGAATATAAAATGATGATGATGATGGCTTTGGGGGGTTGATTTTGTCGTTGTAGTTGCTTTCTTTGTTTCTTTGGTTTGTTTCTGGAGGCATGGTCTCTCTGTGTAGCCTGGGCTGTCCTGGAGCTCTCTACATAGACCAGGCTGGCCTCAAACTCAAGAGATTCACCTGCTTCTGCTTCCCCAGTGCTGGGATTAGAGGTGTGCACAACCACACCTGGCAATTATTTTATTTTATTTTATTGAGACAGAGTGCAGGTAGCCCTGGCTGGCCAGGAATTATCAATTAGATAAGTTTGGCCTCAAACTACCAGAGATCTACTTGTTTTTTGTCTCTCTAGTCCTGGGATTAAGGGTGTGTACCAATATGCATGGCTGATAAATTTTTTTTTGAGACAGGGTTTCTCTGTGTAGCCTTGGCTGTCCTGGACTTGCTTTGTAGACCAGGCTGGCCTCGAACTCACAGAGCTCTGCCTGCCTCTGCTTCCCAATGCCGGGATTACAGGCATGCACCACCGCACCCAGCCCCGATAATAACATTTTTAAAGAGCTCACCGTATCCTACCCAGAAAACTTCCTCACTGGGCAGTTTGAGGGTATGAGTTGACCCTTTCCATTTTATGTACCAGAAGAGGCTCCAAGAGATGAGGCTCTTTGTCCTGAGACCTGGGGTACCCAACATTGTTAGAACAACAACTACCTTAAGCTTGGCGGCTTCTCCAGGGTCAGTTTGGCTTTGTCATACCCCGGGAAAGGGTCAAGGGGCAGTGACTCCCCTCTGCGTGTCAGTTTGTCCACCTGTAAATGAGATGGCAGTGTCCACCTCAGGGAGATTGGTGCTGGGCGTCCCAAAGTCTGCGGCCTTTAGAGGAGCCTGGTGTGCACTCAGGGCCATTTGTGTGCAAACGCAGTCCTGCTCCCCACATAGACTTCCAGAGTCAGCACAGTTAGCTGGCCAGCTCTGTCTGTCTGTCTGTCTGTCTGTGGTGCCAGCGACAGAGCCAGTGCTTCCTATGTGCTAGGTCAGCACTCTCCCTGAGCTGCAGCTCCGGTCTTAATAAGCGTGTTCTGTAGGCTAGGAGGGCTGAGCGTCGCAGCTCGGCAGTAGAAAGCTCACCCAGCATGCGTGAGCGCTATGGAGAGGAAATGAGTGGCTGTGTGCGGTGGTTCACGCCTGCAACCCTAGCTCTCCAGAGACAACCAGGGAAGCCAGAAATCCAAGTCCAGCCTGGGCTGCATGACTCTTGACTCAAGAAAGAAACCCAAAAAAACAGAAAAACCCCAGGTGTGTGAAAGTGAGAGTTCCTGGTAGGATTATAGTGACCACAATAGCAGAGAATGAACACTTTAAGCGTTTAAAACACATGTGTTTTAAGTATGTATGTTTTTAAGTATGTGCACATGAGTGCAGTGTCCCAAGAGTCCACAAGAGGGCGCTGGATCCGCTAGCGCTACCATCACATGTGGTTGTGAGCCTCCTGACATGGGTGCTAGGAGCCACACCTCTGCCATCTTAGCAGCAAGTGCCCCTAACCACTGAGCCATCTCTCCAGCCTCTTTACATGTCTCTCCCCTACTCTTAAGTGAGGTGTGATGCCATATGCCTGAAGTTCCAGCACTGGGGGAAGACAGAGGAAGGGAGAGGTCCAGGCCTAGCTCAGAGGGGCGGGTAGCAGGACACATTAACTGAGATAGGGCCTCACTTTGTAGCCTAGGCTGGACTGGAACTTGGTATGTGATCGAGGTTGGCCTCAAACTTCTGCCTCAGCCTGTCACATGCTAGGGTTGCAGGAGGCAGCAGAGCTGGCATCGGTTCGTTGTATGTCACCTGTGGTTATGGCCGTTCACTGCAGTAGGTAGGACAGATCTGTGGCAGTCTTTTTGCTCCTGGGCTGGGGGATGGAACCCAGGGCCATCATGGGCACTAGGCACGCACTCCACCATGGATTTGTGTATCCCAGTCCCCCCCCACCTTTATAAGTGGGTACAGTCTTTGTACCCGTTTGATGGGTAAGGAAACTGAGGCATAAAGAGACCTACGTATTCACACGGCCAGTGAGGGCAAGAGCTGAGGTTTGAATCCGGGCCCCTGCACCCCTGCCGTGATGTCTGTCTGTCAGTAACCCACCGTGGTCTCCAAGGCCCCCCATCCAAGCCGTGTCATCCTTGTCTCCCCAGACGGGCACACTGCGGTTTTGCGGGACCACAGAGTTCGCCAGCGGCCAGTGGGTGGGTGTGGAACTAGACGAACCGGAAGGCAAGAACGACGGCAGTGTTGGGGGTGTCCGGTACTTCATCTGCCCTCCCAAGCAGGGTCAGTCTCTGACGGGGGGCCCAGGTTGGGGTGGGGGGATGCTCCGCTCTTCTGAGGCTGCTGTCTGGGGAGAGGGGTGGGGCGGAGACTCAGCGATGGGCAAGGGTCTCTTTTGGCTCAGAAAATGCCTGACCCAGTCTTTGCCTCCCCACCCCCCGCCCCACCAGGTCTCTTTGCTTCTGTGTCCAAGGTCTCCAAGGCAGTGGATGCACCCCCCTCATCTGTGACCTCCACACCCCGGACTCCCCGGATGGACTTCTCCCGAGTAACTGGCAAAGGCCGGAGGGAACACAAAGGTCAGAAGAGTGTCATCAAATGGGTGGGAAGAGGCAGCCTTGGGGACACTGTGTGGGTAGCTCAGCTGCTGTGATTCTGTTTTCTTCAACTCCAGCCATGGGGAAGAAGCTGACCTCCCATTTCAGTGACCTGGTTTCTTATTGGACTCACTGCTGGCCCAGCCCAGGTCTTTGGAAGGACCTCTGGGGTTCTCAGCCTCCCGAGGCTTAGTTATCTCTCAGCCCCAAAGACCTCTCCCATGTTCGGGAAAGAATCCATCTCTAGGGATTACCTTTCCAGCAGTTCCTGGCTTTTATGAAATTCAACCTGTCTTGCCACCATCCCCAGCCGCTGCCCTCTGATGTATGTGTCTGTGTTTGGCCAGGTGTTGATGGGTGCTCTCCTACATGAATGCCTGCTCATGAGCGATCCTCCTGCCTCCGCCTCCCGAGTGCTGGGATCAAAGGCGTGCGCCACCACTGCCTGGCTCCCACTTTCTTGTTGAGACAGAATCTCTCCCTGAACATGAAGATCATGTATCTGGCCAGGCTGGCCAGCACACACGCTGGCCAGCATACATGCTCCAGGGCCTGCCTGTCTCCGCCTTCTGTTGCCTGCCATGGCATCTGCCTTTTCGCTTGGGTTCTGGGATCCAAGCTTAGGTTCTCAAACTTGAACTGAGCTTAACCCTGCTTACTTCATTTTTAGATGATGTCCCACTGGGTTGTACAAGCTGATCTTGTACACCTTGGCCACTGGGTTGTACAAGCTGATCTCAAACACCTTGGCTTGCAGGGCGGTGGTGGTGCTCACCTTTAATCCCAGCACTTGGGAGGCAGAGGCAGAGGCAGGCCTATCTCTGAGCTTGAGGCCAGCCTGGTCTACAGAGTGAGTTCCAGGACAGCCGGGGCTACACAGAGAAATCCTGTCTCAAAAAGCCAAAACCAAAACAAAACAGAGCAAAACAAAAACCCACCTTGGCCTAAATGATCTTGCCTCAGCCTCCTGAGTCCTGAGACTGTACTCACATCCCACTGCCTTCAGCTTCTTTTCTTTTAATTTTTGGCCATGCTGGGAATTGCATTCAGGACTTGAATATATACTAAGCAAGTACTCCTAGCTATACCTCCAACTTTGTCCCCGCATTTTCTTTCTTTCATTTTGGAGACCAGGCTGGCCTGGAACTCAGAGATCCACCTGCCTCTGCCTCCTGGGGTGCTGGGATTACGGGCGTGTGCCACCACGTCTGGCTTGTCCCCACGTTTTCAAAGGAGAATTAGGGGGCTCCTGATTTCTGCCTCAGTCTTCCCTTTGGGCTACATATCTTCACCTTCCATTCCCAGGGAAGAAGAAGTCCCCATCTTCCCCATCTCTGGGCAGCCTGCAGCAGCGTGAAGGGGCCAAGGCTGAAGTTGGAGATCAAGTCCTCGTAGCAGGCCAGAAGCAGGGGACCGTGCGCTTCTATGGGAAGACGGACTTTGCTCCAGGTGAGGGCGCACTGGGCTGGGGTGGGGCTCAGATGGACAAGGCCCTGGGTTCCATCCCCAGCACTGAGGCTGAGGTGTTCTGGCAATCCCCTGCTGTAGGTTACTGGTACGGCATCGAGCTGGACCAGCCCACAGGCAAACATGACGGCTCTGTGTTCGGCGTCCGGTACTTCACCTGCGCCCCTCGACATGGCGTCTTTGCACCAGCTTCTCGAATCCAGAGGTGAGCCCCGCTCTGCCCCTCCACTCACGAAGCCACCTAGAGCCCGTGTCTCCCCTCCGATGGTCCTCTTGGAAGACAGGACAACATGGCTGATTGTCATTCTATGGCTCTTTCCTTTGGGCTCCCTGGGGTTCAGCTCATAGCCCTTCATGGTTCTGAATCTTCTGTGTCTTCCCAGGATTGGTGGATCCACCGATCCCCCTGGAGACAGTGTTGGAGCCAAAAAAGTGCATCAAGTGACAAGTGAGTTGGGGGCCGGTGCAGGGAGGAGTGTGGGTCTCAGGGATGGGAAAAGGGCTGTGGGTTCTCAGCTAAACATTAGTGACAGCCTCTGGCATTTAATTTGATGCAAATAGCTCAAAAAATATAAGAAAGGGTCCCAAGAAAGGTAGGTACTGTAGATATAGGAAAGTTAACAAGGCTATGAGGGTTTGGGATACAGTTTACTTATAGAGCCCCTGCCTAGAATCCCCCAGTGAGGGGCTGGGGTGTGGCTCAGTGAGGGACCAGGTATGGGGTATGACTCAGCATGCATAAGGCCCTGGGTTCCATCCTCAGCACTGAGAAGATAACAAAAACCATCTGTGGGGCTGGAGAGGTGGCTCAGTGGTTAAGGACACTGGCTGTTCTTCCAGAGGACCTGGGTTCAATTCTCAGCACTCACATGTCAGTTCACAGTTGTCTGTAACCCCAATTTTAAGGGGTCTGACACCTTCATACAGACATCCACAAAAGCAAAATACCAATGTACATAACATTTTTTTTTTTTTAGAAATCTATAATACCAATATTTATGACGTTGAGGTAGAAGGATTTCAGATTTAAGACCACCTTATCTAAATAGTGAGACTATTTAAAGAACAAATAAACAAACAACAACAAAAAAAAAACCCTGAAACTTAACGTAACTAACAAAAACAAGGATCTAAGCAGGCATTGGGGAATGTGGGATTTGATGGGAGCATTGGAGGTGTGGGTAATTAATGGGGAAGGAGCAAGCATTAATAACTAGAGGGCCAGATGCATACGAAACTCTAGTCAAGGCCTGGAGACCTGGATAAACATGACCCTGTGTGTGTGTGTGTGTGTGTGTGTGTGTGTGTGTGTGTGTGCGTGTGTGTGAGGGGGGTGTTGATAATACAGGTCTGCTGTCACCTCACCCAATACCTTGCCTTCCTCTCTAGTGACACAGCCCAAACGCACCTTCACGACAGTCCGGACCCCAAAGGACATTGCATCAGAGAACTCTATCTCCAGGTGTGTGGCAGGCCTTCCAGCAGAACGTGAGAGACATCTGCGAGGCCCCTGGCTTCGGGTGTGCAGGGCCCACACGGGTGGGAGATGGAAGCGAGGTTGCCAGTAAACTGGGTGTGTGGCCCATGCCTGCAATCCCCGTGTTCAGAGGGCAGGCGGGTCGTGAGTTCCAGGCCTTCCTGGGCTACAAGGTGAGACAGCGGAAGGAAGTGGAAAAAGAGAAAAGGGGCAGGTGAATCTCTGTGAGTTCAAGGCCATCTTTCAACTCCCTCTTTGGTCTGCATGGTGAGTTCCAGGACAGCCAGGGAGACAGACAGAAGCCTGTCTCAAAACAAAACAAACAAACAAACAAACAAGCCTAGTGGTGGTGGTGCATGCTTTTAATCCCAGCATTTGGGAGCAGAGGCAGGTGGATCTCTGAGTTCAAGGTTACCCTGGTCTGCAGATTAAGTTCCAGAAACTGTCTCGAAAACCCAACCCAAACCAACCAACCAAACCAAACCAAAACCAGAGCATGCCAGCCTTGTACAGCAGCTCATGCAACAATGGGGAGGCCAAGGCAGGATCGCTGTCAGCCTGAGAACAGCTTAGGGTACACAGTGAGACCCTGTCCCACAAAAACAATGAAGGGAGAGGGAGAAAGAGGGATGGAGGGAGAGTGTATCTTTAGAGCAAAGGGCTTTTGCTGACTTCTGGAGACTTCAGCTGAAGGAAGCAGAGACACGCGCCCCCCCCCCCCCCCACACACACACTGCACAAGCCTAAAAAGGCACACTCAGAGGCAGAGTGCCAGACCCAGGAGTGCAGTGAGGGACCCGGGTGTCCCCACACCTGTGTCCCATGTGACCTGGCTCTTCTCTTGCAGGTTACTCTTCTGCTGCTGGTTCCCCTGGATGCTGAGGGCGGAGATGCAGTCCTAGAGGCCCTGGAGCCCCTACAAAGAGACAGAGTCCCCTCTAGCATCTCCTGACACAAGGAGCCCCCAGTCACCCCCAGATAGCGATTCCCAGTGACACCTCCAGAATAGAAACCCCCTGTTAGCCAGCCCTCGAGTCCTGAGGTCCCATTATTAACAGATCTCCCATGACAGCTCCCCAAATACAGACCTCATGTTACCCCCAAAGATTCCCTGAGTAGCACCTTCAGGCTAATTCCTGTGCCCCACCCCTCAGAGCAGATGTCCCCCAATAAATATTTCCACGTCACCCAAGTGATGCCGACCCTCGCCATAACAGGACACTCTTGAGTTCCTCACCAGTGGATGGGAGTCCCATGAATGAAGACCCCACCCCTCCCCCTTCTCCTTAAGCATAGGCCATATCTCCCGGATAGCCCACATCACTTTCCCTGTTTCAACATCAGTCTCCTCAAGATGTCGTGACCCCAAGGTCACCTGAAAGCCCTTATCAGAGATGCCCCCCCATTCACTAAGTCCCTGTTCTCACCCCCCCAAAGAAGACACCCACTTAACCAGCCCAGTCACCCCAATTTGCAAACACCAAACAGTCCTGGAAGCATGAATTGCAGGACACCAAGTCTTCCTGCCCCCTTGAGAAACCCCCAGTGCCTTGTATGAAGCCCACCCACGTGGCCCACAATCTCTGTGCTGGCCAAGGCTCCCAGAAAATTCTCTATTTTTTAAAGTAATAACTTCCCCCTTGGGGGGAGCCCCCAAATTTGGAGACCCCGCTCTAGAACTCTGGGGAGTTCAAATTCCAGAGAGAATATATATTATATATATCCCTAATTCCCCAGGCCTTCAAGTCCTCTGATCCTTAGAAAACCCCCAATTTCTAATTCCCAGGACTCCCCCTACCCAAGTCACAGAATCTTCAAATCCCCAGGGAATCCCAAATTTAAGACCCCAATCCCAAACCCTCAGGAAACCACCCAACCACGAGGTCCATGGGAGCGGGAGGAAGGAACCTGTTGCCAGGAGAAGGCCCCAGGCTCTTAGGGCATCTCAAACCTGACTCCCAGGCACCAGGAGACCCCAGACAGCAAGTCCCATCTCTGGGACAAGAATAGATGACTAATGCCCTCAGTCCATGGATCTTCTGATCTCCCAAACTCCAAATTCCACGGGCCCCAGCCTCAAGGGAACCCCCGATTCCCAAATCTCTGATTCTTAATACGTGCAGGGCCCCAGGGTTCTACCAGGACCCCAAGTCTTGGAGTCCCTATTTCAATCTACCTTCCGGTCACAGGTCCGAGACCCTAAATCTGAGTCATTGCCCCCAAGGACCTCACAAGCACCTGGGCCAGACCAACAGCCTGAGGGAGAACCCGAAGGCCCCATGGGTCCAGAGCAGACCTGGGGCCCCCGACCACCAAGAACAGCTCACGACTGCCCCTTCACTGCATGTCCCTAAACTCAGCATGACTCCTGTCCTCTTCAATAAAGACGTTTCTATGGCCTTCGTGTGTCAGGTCACTGGGGGTTATGGCACCGACCCCGGGGTCTTGCTGGGGTGAGGACGGCGGGAGGGTTTTGTTTGTTTAATGTCACCTCCCCGTATGGAAGGCAGGAGACCAGCGACTTGGCCTGCAGAACACGAAGCGCCCGTCCCTTCCCCGTGGCCTTCCTCGCTGAGGTGAGGCCCACGCTGCTGTGGAGTCCTGATTGGTGGGAACCAGCCGAAGCCGGGTCCCTGGAGGCGGGACGCGGCCCGTGCCTGAGCGAGCGCGGCGGACGCCGAGTGGGAGCGCTGATTGGCTGGAGGGCGGGCCCGGAGGTGGCTCCGAGGCCGGCCAGCGGTCTAAGCGTCCTGCGTCGGCAGCACGGGCGGAAGTGGCCGGGGGCGGGCGAGGCTGAGCGTGTGGAGTCTGCAAGTTAGAGGAGGCGGTGTGGACGGTCGGGTTGTCCGGGGTGTGCGTGTGCGCGCGCGGGGGGAGCCTTAGAGGTGACGAGTGCGGGGACCTGAGCGGGCTCAGGGTGGCAGCTCCGGGGGGCTCAGAGCGTGGAATCCCGACCCTCCGGGGTCTGGGGAGGTTCTGCCGGGAAACCAGCGTTGGCAGCCTGGCTCGGGGCCGAGGTGAGACGAGGGTCTGTAGGCCCTGGGGGTCCTGCACTCAGGCTTGCACGTCTGCCGCGGGCTCTCGAGGGGAGCAAGGTGCCTGTTAGAGCGGTGGGGCCCGTGTGGGCTTGGAAGGACTCAGTTGGGGTCTGCTGACTCCGATCGGCGCTGGGATCCGGGGTCGGGCGTGGGGTCACGGGGCGGCTCTGAGAAACCGAGGGCCCCAGCTTTGAGGTGTGGCCCCCGAGGGGGTGGAAGGAAGGCTGGTCACCCCTGGAAGATGGGAGGCTTAGTGACTTTCCCCTCCCACAGGGCGGCACGCGAGGAGTTGGTGTCCATGGAGGAGCAGGACGCCAGGGTCCCGGCCCTGGAACCGTTCAGGGTGGAACAGGTTGACAGGACTGGGGTGTGGAGGGGAATGTGGGGACAGAAGGGGGTGGGGTGGGGTGAAGTGACTGACGGACTGCTGGGTTTGTTGGTTGGGATTGCCCCGCCTCTCCTCAGAGCATGCCTGCTTCCGGCCCCCCAGGGCTATTGAGGTCCCGGCCTCTCTGAGGACATCCCAAGTTCCTCTCCAAAGGGAAAGGTTGCTCAGTCCTGATGGGGTCCCCGTGTCGGGCAAAGCGCCACATCCTAAGGCAGGGGTTCACCACCATCTTGATGCCGCGACCCTTTAATAGTTTCTCATGTTGTGGTGACCCCCAACCATAAAAATTATTCTTGTCGCTGCTTCACAGCCGTATTTCCGGTACTGTTATGAATCATAGTGTAAACGTCTGCTTTCTGACCGTAGGATAGCTTTGCTCGGGGTCGCGACCCACAGGTTGAGGACCCCTCTCCTAAGGGCGGTCTTTCCCTTACAGGCGCCGTCTCTAATCTACTATGTCCCCGATTTCATCTCCAAGGAAGAGGAGGAGTATTTGCTTCGACAGGTGACCCTTCTAGTCTGTCTTTCCCACCTTCCCATATTTCCCTCCCAGCACCTAGCCCCGGAGTGAGGCTCTAGCAAGGAGGTGCCTCCCAGCACCGTCCTCCTGTTCTCTCTCAGCCATGGCTAAGTCTGTCCCAAAAAGCTTGCTTAGCTAGGCATAGTGGCACATACTTGCAACCCCAGCTAAGGAGGCTGAGTCAGGGTGATCCCAAATTTCAGGCCTTCTGTTATTTTAGATTTCTTTTAAAATTTCATGTGTGTGTTTTGTCTGCATGGCTTCTGTTCTGTGTCCTAGGAGGCCGGAAGATGGTGTCAGAGTCCCTAAAACTGGAGTTACAGATGGTTGTGAGCAGCTGTGTGGGTGCTAGGAAGTGAACCTGGGTCCTCTGCAAGAGGCTCTCAACTACTGGGCCGTGTCTCCAGCCCCGTGTTGTGAGCTCTTGTTTGAAACAGAACAAAACAAAGCAAATAAACAAGACAGAGCTTCCCTTAGAGGCTTGTGAAAAACCAAATGTGCGCGCAGGCGCGCGTGTGTGCGTTTGTCGGTTCCTGCTGGCGGATAAGATCTGGGGCTGTGCACGCCAGGCAGGTGCTCTACCACTGAGGCACACACCTCCACCCGCCCAAGGATGCAGTTGTGAAGCTCACATTCTCTACCCGGAGATAGCCCGGTCTGACCTCTAAGGGTGCTACTGCGATCACATCCCTGACAGAAATGACCCAGTACAACCCCATAGCCTTGGGACCCGAGACATGTCAGAGCTCATTCTCCCTGTGTTGAGATCCCCCAAGCTGGATGCGGTGAGACATGCCTGTGATGCCAGCACTGCGAGTGTGGGTGCAGGGGAATGGGGAACTCAAGCCCTGTCCCCACGTCCAGCCCAGTACAGGGCTGGAGAGGTGGCTCAGGGGGCGCTCAGCTAGGTAGGGTTTTTTGAGGTCAGCCTGGGATACATGAGACTCCCCCTCCCCCCCGAAACAATAAATAAATTCTGGGAACATACCACACCGAGAGAAGATTCCATTTCCAGCTGTGGCTACAATCTGGATAGAACATCTGTCTCCCCATTGTTGGCCAAGGCTGCTGCAGCTGACTTGGCCAGGCACATGTCCCTGTGTTTCCCCATGTCCTTATGAGTGTCCTTGAGGCTAAGCTCTGGAGAGAGCGACCCTACTCGATAGAGGAGGACCATTTTTCAGTCAGGGCTCTGTGATTGGCTGCTCTCCCCAACCAGAACCCTCCAACAGGCTCTAGATGGCCTGTTTTCACCCCACATGAAGGCCCTTGTGCTGGCCTAAGTGGAAGGTCCTGAAAACCCTGTTCCCCACCTCCTAGGTTTTCAATGCCCCAAAGCCAAAGTGGACCCAGCTGTCTGGGAGGAAGCTACAGAACTGGGGTGAGTGTGCTTTGTGAGGGAGTGTGATCTGGGAGGGGCTCAGGTCCAATGAGTCAAAATATGTGGGGCTATCTCCAAGGTCCCAGGGGTCCCCGAGCCAGGAGGCTCCAGGGGTTGGTGGTGGTCTTGAGGGATTGGGGGTTTACTAATAGTTGGGAGTGTCTCTAAGGGCCAAGTGCTTTGAAGAAAACTTGTGAAAGCTCAGTGGGTAGGGATGCTTCCAACCACTGGAATATCCTCTCTGGGGGTACCAGATGCCCTGGTCCTTGACTGGGCGCCTTCAAGTGTCCGTGCACTCTGCAGGCGGGCTCCCCCACCCCCGGGGGATGGTCCCCGAGCGACTGCCTCCATGGCTTCAGCGCTACGTGGACAAAGTGTCTGACCTCAGCCTCTTTGGGGGTCTCCCAGCCAACCATGTCCTTGTGAACCAGTATCTGCCTGGGGAGGGCATCATGGTAACTACCCATCTTCCTCCCAGTTTCCCCCGTGACCGCCTCCCCCGTGTCTCAAATCATTACGAGGAGGACAGCCATTCTGTCTGCCTGCCCGCCCCACCGAGGCACTCCCATCCCTGTCCCAGCCTCGGAAGCCCACTTTGACCTGGTGTCTAGGATGGGCTCCTGCCCCCGCCCTCCCAGGCGCCCCCTTCCTCCCTAGCCTCATGAAGACGGACCGTTGTACTACCCGACGGTCAGCACCATCAGCCTGGGCTCCCACACCGTCCTCGATTTCTATGAACCTCGGCAGCCGGAGGATGACGTCCCTACAGAACAGGTGGGTTCCGAGGTGATTTCCCAAGCAGTTAGGAACATTCTAATCGCCGACCACCCGTATACTCCAGGACGGCCTGATCCTGCCTGTCTTGACCGTATTCCTGACACCCAGATGTGTTCCCCTGCTCCTGGTTGGTTATCCCTGCTTTTTCCGGGATAGCTAGCCCGTACCCAACCCAGGCTGCCATGATGCTGGCAGACACCCAGTACTTCTCTGGGGTATTGGGTGACTCTGGCATGTCCACAGTCCTTGAGCTCAGCGTGGTATTCCGACAAAACGTTTTTTATTGTTTCAATTACTCTTTACTTGTTTTTGAGACAAGATTTATGTAGCCCAGGCTGGCCTCACATTTGCCATCTTCCTGCCCCCACCTCCCACGTGCTGGTGTTACAGGCATGTGCCCCATGCCTGGCTCCAACACACGTTCTTGATAGCCTCAAAACACCCCAGTGTGTCAGTCACTCGTGTTCTCCCAGACTGTGCAGGACGCTTTAACACTAGTGTCCTGCCACTCTAGTCATATGTTCTATGACCCCCAGGTTCTTCTTAGCTCATCACATGACTGTGTTGGAGATACTCTGACTTGTAGCTTTTAAGTCGTGCATTCTTTTTTAAGATTCATTTATTCTATAGTCTTCTGCCTGCATGTGCGTCCACACCCCAGAAGAGGGCGCCCGATCTCATTATACATGGCTGTGAGCCACCATGTGGTTTCTGGGAATTGACCTCAGGACCATTGGAAGAACACCCAGTGCCCTTAACCTCTGAGCCATCTCTCCGGCCCAAGTCGGGCAGTCTTGATACCGCAGTGTTCACAGAATCCCCCCCCCCAACCACCCTGGCCTGATGTTTCTCAGCTTCGCTCCCTGCATTTCTCTCCTTTTCATCCCTTCCACCCAGCCAGGCTACCTGCAGAGCCGTTCCTGACTAAAGCCTCCCCGTATTCTAGTTCATCTGCTGTCTAGCATCCTAAGCCCCAGGATAGGCTACTCCCTTTAACCCCTGTATCAGAGCCTGACCCCAGCAGTGCACCCCAGGTCAGCTCTGTGTGAGTGTCCCCGGGGCCGCCCATGTCCCAGCCCCTCAGATCCCAGCTGAAGCTCCCACAGTATAGTGACCCTTGATGTCGTCATCTGTAACGGAGGCCCTGCCTCCTCCCAAAGGGCTGGACACACACAGAGAGACCTTCCCTTCCCAACATCGTGGCCCCCAGAACCTATAGATTACCATTCCTCAGCCACCAAAGAGAGCTTCCATCCCCCAAAGCAAACTCTTTCTCCCGGGGAACCCGCCGACCCTTGTCCCCTGCCCAGCTGCTGACGCCCGCTGACTTTTCACTCACTCCCACACTCGGGGTATCTGCTGACCACCGGCTGGTTCCCGCAGCCCCGGCCGCCCCCACAGCCCATCACCTCGCTGCTGGTGGAGCCGCGCAGCCTGCTGGTGCTCCGGGGCCCAGCGTACACACGCCTGCTGCACGGCATCGCGCCCACCCGCGTGGATGAGCTGGACGCCACCTCGCTGCCGCCCAACGCTGCCGCCTGCCCGTCTGCGCAGCCCGGAGCCCGGCTGGTGCGCGGCACCCGCGTCTCCCTGACGATTCGCCGCGTGCCGCGAGTGCTGCGCGCCAGCCTCCTGCTGAGTAAATGACCGCCAGGCTCCAAACTCTGTGACCTTGGAACCCTAGGGCAGAGGCGGCTGTGCAGGGTTATTTATTTATTTATTTTCCCGGTAACTGTGGAAACCATAGAGAAGACGCCATTCCAAATAAACCGAAAATACCTTTGCTTGTTTTGGACTTTTTTTTTTTTTAAAGCTAGGTGGGAACAGATGTTTCTATTTTTTTCTTCCTCCCTGCCCTCCTCTTCAATACTGGGGATGAAATCCAGGCCTTCTTGGAAGCTAGTCAAATACACTAAACTATAATCTCAGCAACAATTTATTATTTTTTAGTTTCGAGACAGGGTCTTCATAAGATGCCCAGGCTAGCCTTGAACTTGAGATTTCTCCTGTCTGACAGGACAGGCCGTAGCTCCCAGGTGCTTGGATTTTTCAGTGTCATTATACCTGGGACTTTAAATGACTAGGGTGGTGTTGATCGTGATTTTAACAAACCTACTTTGTTTGTTAAAAAGCTTCTACCTCCCTTCCAACCCCCCAACGCCGTGTAGGAGAGAAAGAAGGTTAGTGGGGACGGGGTTTGGGGTGTGGCATTCTCTCTGCCGCTTCCTCCTGGGTAGGGTCGTTGGAATCTTTTGGAGGCAACACCAGTATCAGTCATCCAGAAACCCAGAAGTCCAGGTGAGCCGCATACCAACAAGCAGCAAATTCAGGACGAACCCTCAGCAAGCAGCCTCTGTCATATTTATACCCCTCAAAGTCCTCAGAATCCAAGTAATGCCACCTGGCAGAGACCACGCTCCTCCGCTCCTCCCCGCACAAGACACTTAACACGTGGGGACAAAGTAAAACCCCCCCAACTTGGAATTTTAGCAAGAACATGTTTACATATCACGTATCTGGTGCTCAGATACATGGGTCCCTGAAGGTGACAAGATCCAGGGTCTTGAGGGGAATGGGCGGTGTTTTCTATCTCAGAGCCCCTTGGGCGTGGGGATGGAGTTGGGAAGTTTAGGTTCTCCTGCTGGGGAGGAAGGAGTTAAACGCCTCCGCACCTCAGCAGGGCATCAGATTTCTTGGTCCAGGTTCCTCCTGGAAGGGGAGGAGCCAGGCTGGCCCCTGGGCCTCTCCATAGCCTCAGGCTTGGGTAAGTCCTGCTGTGGAAAGGTGGGGGACTAGCTCAGGAAGGGACAGTTACTGGATGTTTTCATCTGAGGCTCCCTGAGCCCACAGCCATGGCCCTGTCCCCTCCTCTTGGCCATGGATTCCCCTCAGAGCCCCTCAGCCATACCCTGGGAGTCCCTAGGGAGCTGGACGCTGCAGGATGTACCATCTACCCTGTGCCTGGAGAGAAGGCGAGCAGGTGGGGATTGGGGCTTGATTCCTGGTTCCAACAGAGGGAGCAGTGGGACGGGCCATGTGCGACCACGACTGAATTAGGACATGGAGGAGAGTGGGGGTCGGGTTTGGTGGAAAGCGAGGCACAGTGGCTCATCTGGGCTCCGTCAACATTCCTTACGTGTAGGCCAGAGCTGGCCCAGACTTCCTTGGGTCCTCCTGAGCGTGTCATGGGTGAGCTGAAGAGCACTGAGCCTACCACCAGCCCCCCAAGACTACCACTGGCTTCCCATGAGCATCAAGATGGGGGCAAGCCCTGTGAGGTGAGCTGACCACACCCTCTGTGCCCCTGAACCCTGTCTCTCCTCTCTCGCTCTGGGGACAGCATGGTGATTTTGAGAAGGTGTTAGGTGTCTGTGGCGGAGGGGACACTAAGGCCATTTGTTTGCCAATCAGTGTAGAAGCGTTTCAGTTATCCTTATTGTGCACTCAATGGTGTGTGCGTGTGTTGCACACGAGGAGGCCGAGGTCGGTGTCACTCAGTCAGGGTCTCTCGCTGAACCTGACTGGTTTGGTTAGGCTGGCTGGCTGGGGAGCTCCAGGGATCTGCTTGCCTCCACCCATCCCGCACCGAGATCACAGACCACCAGTGCCATGCCGTCGATTCTTTTTGTGCTGGTGACTTTGAGCAACCTTACTTGCACACGGCAGACGCCTCCCCAGTTTCCTCATTTGGGACAGGCTTGCGCTGCGTAGCTCAGTGTGGCCCTGAACCTTTAATTCTCTTGCCTCAGAGAACTAGGGTTATAAGTATATTTCACCATCTCCAAGGCAGACGAATTTCAATATTTTACCAAGCAGGACATCAGAATTTCAATAATGGCCTTAGTACAACCCCAGTCCCTCTGGGGGTAATCTGCTCCACTACCCCTCCCAGTTTAGGCCCATAGAAAGAGGTTTCTGGAAGGCTTGAGAACCTGAAGACCTGAATTAGATGTCTCCAACCTTGGGGTGGGAGCAGCCCCAGTGCTGTCCTGGAGATGGGCATTGCCTCAGAGACACACCCACCAGGCAGAAGCCTGCTTGGGAGTAGGGGCGGTGTCCTATTGGTCCACAGGCCCTGATTTGGCCCCCTGGAATCCCCAGCCCTCTACCTCTGGCCTGGAAGTACTAGAAGCTGAGCAGGACAGCCTACAGCTTTGTCTGCTGAGGTTGAACTTCCGGCTACAGGACCTGGAGCAAGGCCTTAGATCCTGGACGCTGGCCCACAGTAGGATCGTCCAGCTGCAGGTAGGCAGTGGGAAGCCAGGACACGGGAGAGTAGGCAGAGTCCTGGGTGTGAGTGCAAGCTTTCGGGGGTGGAGGGCGGCTTTAGTGCATGTTCTGACTTCTTTCTGCACAGGATGTGGAGGAGGAAGTAAATTACTCCAGGTTGGGGGGGCGGTTGTCTGTTTCCAGTCATGAGTGTGAGAGTGTCCAACCACCTGTCCCAGGCCCTACAGGCAGAGCTACGAGGGGCAGCTGAGCGTGTGGATGCCCTGCTTGCATTTGGCGAGGGCCTGGCTGAGAGGAGCGAACCCAGGGCCTGGGCATCTCTAGAGCAGGTCCTGAGGGCCCTTGGCACCCACCGAGACACCATCTTCCAACGGCTCTGGCAGCTGCAGGCCCAGCTGATCAGCTGTAGCCTGGTAGGACCTGCCCTGGGTGTCCCCAGCCCAGACCCTAACCCCTCGGCTCCCATGACATCTGTCCTCTGCTCCAGGTGCTTGAGAAGGCCAACCTCCTGGACCAGGACTTGGAAGTTGAGGGAGACCCAGATGGGCCAGCACCTGGTGGAATCTGGGGGTCCTGGGCGTCGAGTGCCTTCCCCACCCCTGCAGAGCTGGAGTGGGACCCTGCAGGGGATGTTGGGGGTCTTGGGCCCTCGGGGCAAAAGATATCTCGGATGCCAGGAGCTCCCTGTGAGCTGTGTGGCTACAGGGGACCCCAGAGCAGTGGACAGGGCCTTAAGGTGAGATCAGCGCCCCCTCAAAGGCCCCCTACTTGGCCGGGTACCACAGCGTACCGTTCTTCACCTTCTAGCACGGTCTTTCCCTTTCAAAGAGGACTTGGCTCTGCCTCTCCCTCCAAGCTTCTGTCTTTTGTTTTCTTTTTTAAAGAGAGAGTCATGCTATGCAGCATAGGCTGGCCTTGAACTCACCATCCCCCTGCCTCAGTCTCTTCGTGCTGGGGTTGCAGGCATGCACCGGCATGCCCACCTACCTTTGCCTACCGTAGCTTATCACCGTGATTCTCTTGTGCACTCTGTCTCTTCCTCTCTCCGTGAATCCCTGTTTGCGTCCCTCCTCTTATCTGTCTGTCTCTTCATTCCTCCCTGTGCTGCAGACACAGTCCTGGCCCCTCTCTAAGCACACCAGCCTTACTCCTCTAAGCCCTAGATGCCGCCCCTTCCCCTTCTCCGTCCAGTCTCCTTCCGGGTCACCTCTTCAGAGAGCTGCTGTGACCCAACCTAGCACTTCCTCCCATTATTTCCTGGTGTTCCTTACCACGGCTTCCATACGATATTTACTTGCTAACGTCTTACCTCTCTGGGTAGAGTGTTATGCTCCACAGAGAGCAGAATTTTGCCCGTTTCCACCCCCACCATGCCGCCTAAAATGTGCTTGCTGTGTAATAGACACCCATTAAATATTTGTTGACTGAATGAATAAGTAAAGTTTCTCTCCTCTTGGTTTCGAGGGCTCTGCCCCCTCCGCCTTTCCCATGAGATGTGTATGTGCCTACGCATTTCATCTCTGTGGCACCTCCTTCCAGACCCTTGCATAACCACGCTACCAGTCTCCCAAGAAACACGAAGCTTTCTCCTCCCACAGGACCTGCTCTCACTGGGGCTCAGCCACAGGAAGCACTTAGCAGCTCACCATAGAAGGCGGCTGCGGAAGGCTCAGGTGAGCTGCGCACACTAGGGGGTGCTGATGGCAAGTCAAAGGGATCCAACCCATACTGTCTGCCACACGCACGCACGCACGCACGCACGCGCGCAAGTCTAGACATCATGCATTCAGGATCTAAAATGTATCAGGGCTCCATCTCTGTCTTTTGGCCTTGTCCTCCAGCCCCCTCCCTTTTCCCTGGTTTACTACCCTACCTCTCTGACCCCTGACCTGCTCGAAGGACCAAAGTCCCAGGCCTGACTTCACTTGGGGCAGAGGCTGCATAGAGTGCTCTGATTGGCCAGGTCTGAGTCACATGTCCTATCATGGCCAAGGGAAAAATGGAAGTCAGCTTAGAGTGACCCTGAAGATCTGAGTTTAGAGGCACCCACACACCCACACAGCATTGTATCCGTGTGTACAGGGAGAGGGCAGTGGATGCATGAAGGACAGGTGCAGACACCCTCCACGCTGTAAATTCACGTGAGGTTCAGGGGTGCCAGGAAAAGCCCTGTAGGTCTAGAATAACAGGATGGTGTCCCCACTTGAGTGGCACTGCCATTCATCCTGCTGCTGTCTGCTGTCTGTCCTCAGGACAAGAAGAGACAAGCGTCTCCCAGTCTGCCAGATGTGATGCTGGAGGTGGATCATAGGTGAGAGGCTTGACCGATGGAGCTGGGTGTGTGTGTGTGTGTGTGTGTGTGTGTGTGTGTGTGAACAAGCAATCATGGTCGCAGCCCACCCCGATTTTTAACATTTTTCTTCTCTTCTCAGGGTCCCTGCTCCTGCATCCAGATGGCCCCTGACCCTCTTCTTTCTCCTTCTCTTCTTCCTTCTTGTGGGTGCCACGCTGTTGCTGCCCTTGTCAGGGATCCCCTGCTGCTCTCATGCCCGGCTGGTCAGGACGCCCTACCTGGTGCTCAGCTATGTCAATGGTCTCCCTCCAATCTGAGTCCACAGCCCAGACATGCGTATTAAAGGGTGGCTTCCGAAAGATGTCTGAGAATATTGAGTGCTTGAGAACTTGGAAACAGATACAGCTCTGAAGTATTTCGACAGCCCCTTCTAACACACCTTTGCCTTAAGGGCCAAACACAGAACTCAATGAGCCTGTGGTATTCCGGTTTCCCCAAACTGTAATACAAAGGTTAAATTTAGTCCAAGTTGTTAATTTGAGAGCTGATGCTGGGAAGAGAGGTAGGGAAATGAGAACATGATCCAGGAAAGGCAGAGTCGACACTGGCTGGCTTTAAAGAGCTGTCGGTTGCTATAGGCACCCAGAGTGCCAAGTGGTTGGAAACGCTTCCACACCTCCACACCTCGCATGTGAGGCCTCTTCCTGGGGAGGTGGACTCCCTGATACTTTCCACCCATCTGCCTGTCCTTCCCGTGAACACAAGTCTCTGGGGGTGGGGGGATAAAGGAAGCAAGGTGTAGCTGGCAGTGCCTCAGGAGGCCAGGGGCAGGCGCGAGGCCTTGGCAGGGCTGCTGGTGGGCTGCCATGTATTCTGCGCGGAGGAGCGCCGGCCGGGCAATCACTAATTCAGGGCTGTGGGACACTCTCTGTCTGGGACATTACCCCCCCCCCCTTGGTAGGATCTTACTGCATAGTCCAGGCTGGCTTTGAACCCCCAGTCCTCCTGTCTCAACTTCCAGAGGGCTGGGATAACAGATGTGTGCCATCAGGCCTAGCTATTATTTCTGTTCCGTGTTGCTTGGAATGGAACCCAGGGCCTGGAGCATGCCAGGCAAGTGCTCCACCACTGAGCCACGCCTCTATTCCAAATTCCTGGGGTCTTTCCCACTCCAGGCTACAGTCTAGTCTCCTCAGATCTAAGACGGGATAGGAACAGACAAACACAGGAACCAGGCGGAGCCCTGTGCTGGCCCCAGCTTCACCCCAAACAAGCTCCTCCTCCCCGTGCTGGGCTCCGAGCTGCACACACAACACCCACCTCCCTTAATTCCCACAGCCCCTGACAAGGTCCCACTGTAGCCAGCTGCAAACAGAAGTCAGGGCTGAGGCCCCACAGGAGGGAGTGACCAAAGCTGAGTCCTCCCTGACCTTCATGGAGTTTAGTTGTGTGGTTAACTGAGACCTCTGGCACAACTAGGTCCCAAACGATGTCTCTGTCTCTGGCCCCTCCCCCATTCTGTCTTTGTTCACACCCTCCTTGTCAGATTGTTGCCTCAGTTTAAAGGGGTAGGCACTAGTTTTTAACTTTTTTATTTGGGGTTCCTTAATGCCTCTGCCTGCCTTCCTTACCCTCCATACCCAGGTAGTAGAAAAAGGTTACAAGGGAAAGGGGATGCAGGCCTCTTTAGACTTAGTTCCGGTTGGCTAGGGTCATCAGGTTCTTTGGGAAAATGCCAATCTCAGTGATCAGGACATCTAGCAGTCCAGCAACAGCAAACAGCAATCGCTGCAGGACAAGCAAGCAGCCTTCTTCCTCCACTGTCCATCTCAAAGCCCTCTCTCTCTCTCTCTCTCTCTCTCTCTCTCTCTCGCTCTCTCGCTGGGCTCTGGCATTTACACTCTCCCAGAGTCCTCAGCATTAAACTATCTCCAGCTGGCAAAGACCAGCCCTCTCCGAGCTGCAGGAGGCAATTAGCAGCTGTGGGCACACTAAGGCAGCCCCGTTTCCCACGCGTGGATTGAAACAAAAGCCCATTTACATGACATGAAGAACCGAAACTTTCACTGCAAAAAAGATCAGACTTGCACACTGAAGTCCCATGGAGGGTTCCCCTGGCTTAGGCTGTGCTCCCCCTTCACCAGGGGCTACAGTCAGTGCTTCTGTAACCACGGAGGATAAACATGGGAAGGAAGTGTGTCTCCAAAGACAACAAATGGTTACTGGAAAAGAAAAGAAAAAGGGTATTGAGGAGGTCTGGAAAGCAGGAGCTTCTAGCATTAAGAGAGTACAAACTTGGGGCTGGTGAGATGGCTCGGTGATCAAGAGCAATGGCCATTCTTCCAGAGGACCTGGGTTCAACTCCCAGCAGCCACGTGGCAGTTCACAACTGTCTGTAATTCCAGTTTTAGGAGATCTGACACCCTCACACAGACATACATGGAGGCAAAACATCTATGCACAGAAAGTAGAATTTAAAAAGAGTGCAAACCAGTAGCCAAGCAATGTATCAGAGAATCTGCCTTTCTAAATTGTTTGTGTGTGCACACATGAATATGGACATCAAAGGACAAACTGCCTTAGTTAGTTCTCATCTTCTGTGTGGTTCCTAGGATTTGAACTCAGCTCCTCAGGCTAGTCACCTTGTTATCCTCTGAACCATCTTTCTTTTTTGAGACAAGGTCACTCTGTGTAGCTCAGGCCCACGGAGCTAGGAAGAGGTGAGACACGCGGCTGGGATATGAAAAGGACACAGGTTGGGCAGAACTCCACTTTCAAAACTCTGGCTTTTGAGAGGACACCAAGGGCAAGACTGACAGGGCCACCAGGTGGGAGGTGACCGTCAGCGGTTAGGGCACTGGCTGTGCAAACACAAGGCCCTGGCTTCATGCCAAGCCTCACACATGGAGCACACAGTAAGCCAGCGTGTGTTGTGGGAGAACACGCCTGTGAGGTGGAGGCGCAGGCAGAAGCTGCAGGCCATTATCCCTCACAGGACCAGACCGAGCTCTACGTCTCAGAAACAGTAAAAACTAAACCAACCAGGTTCACCCTGATGGACAAAACAGGCTGAGCGAGGAACAGGTAGCTAGCATCCCATGGGGAGGGGTGATGAGACTGAGATAGAAACCATATGTGACGGGTCACAGCCTCTTCCGGCTCACACCGAGCCTCAGCTGGGGCCCGCATGCCTCCCTTTTCTTCCCGCCTGCCTCTGGCATGGCAGCACATGCCTACAATCCCAGTTTAGAGGCTGAAGGAGCTCAACGCTGAGACCAGCCGAGGCTACATCATAGCAAGACCCCGTCTCAACCAGAAAGCAAAAAGACAGAAACAAAAACCCCAAGGACAGAAAAATATTAAGACAAGCAACAAGGATATGAACACACCTCACATTTATTCCCTTTATACAATAATCCCGAGGAACGTGAACCCTTGAGGGACTGCCTCTTAGAACCACTTAGAACCACGAGGGATCCTCCAGGGGTCGTTGGCTGATCAGCAGGGATGAGCTACGGTAACCTCCCTCGTTTGTCACGGTGAGTGGGACAACTGTTTTCTAAACTGGACTGCGAAGATTCTCACGGTTCATCCGGATATTTTATTAAACTTGCTCAGCGTGGTGGCTCACGCCTTGAACGCCAGCAACTGGGGGGCAGAGGCATGCGGATCTGTGAGTTCGAGGCCCTGCCTGGTCAACAAAGCGAGTCCAGCACAGCCAGGACTGTTACACAGAGAAACCCTGCGTTAGAAACAGCAAAGGGCGGGGGGTGGGTGGGTGAGTGTGTTCTCTGAAGTCGAGAGGGATGTCTCTGGGTGTCTGGGTCCCATTAGTCCGAGGGGAGGAGGAAGTTCGTTTGTACTCTTTGACTTTGGGTTGGTGCATCACGGCATACGCCTGTGCAGCCTGCCGGTGCCACAGGATGCCCGGAACCTTCTTGGTGAGGGAGTGTCTGGTCTCTCATCACGCGTCGAGACAATTCGGCTGTCTCTCCAGACATCTCCCCTTCCACGAGATGAGTTCCCGATCCTCCCCAAACTGTCAGGAGGGACCCTTCTCTGGGGTCTGTCTGTCACCGTCCATCGGATGGCGTCTCCCGTGCCCCCGTGTTTCCACAAGGGCTCTTTGGGCCATCGCTACCGTCCAGCACGGTTTCCTGGGCTGTCGCGTCGCGGGGTTCCTCCGTCGGGCCCTGAGGGCGCACGAAGATCCCCATGGCTGTGGCGTGGCCGGAACGCAGCAGCTGCAGCTGGCGCCGTCCCCGGCGGTACAGATACTCGATGCGCAGCACGTCGGAGCGCGGAAGGCTGGCGTGCTGCCGGAACTCGGCCCGCACCCGCGCCTCGGCGCCCGGCTTCCCGCGCCCGGCGCGCAGCAGCTCGCGGTACAGGCCCAGAACTTGCCTCTGCAGCCGGCTGAGCCGCCTCATGTCCACTGAGTCCCTGTCAGCAGGCCCAGACGGCGGAAGGACCGCCCCGACCCTCAGGACGGAGAAGCTAAAGGGCAGGGCAACGGCCGCGGCCGCCAGAAGTCCCGCCTCCTGGTAACCGGTGCCTCCGCATCCGATTGGCTGGAGCTGTATACGTCATAGAGGGGCGGAGTCTGATGTTCCGGTCCGCCCTAAGGGCTGTGCTTTAGGGGGACTACAGTTCTGGAGATTTGTGGACTTGAATTCGAGGAATGGGAAGGACCTAAGCAAATGCACTCTGGCTGGGAGTTGGAAGAGAGAGTGATGAGTCCTGGGAGGACGGAGAGTGAACGGTTCGAATCCGTGGGTCACCAAAGGGCGTAATGACATTGGACAGGGACAAGCGGTTTTTAAAAAGATTTATTATTTTAGGGGTTGGAAAGTGTACAAACTGACTACATGACTGCCCCATGGTATGGTTAACGGGAAGAGGTTTTTGTTTGTTTGTTTGTTTGTTTGTTTGTTTGTTTTTTGTACATGTGGGAGAGAAAATAGCCAGAGGCATCTAGGAGAGTCCAGAGGAGAAAGAGAAAGTAGACTGGTGTTAGCCCAGGCTGTCTGCGAGAGAGGAGAGAATACCAGGGGATACTGAATAGAGAAAACATGGAGAAGTAGGAGTAGAGTACAGAGAGAGAACAGTGAGAATAACACAGTTATAAGGAGAATAAGTAGTCAGGGGAGGGAAGCCAGCAAGCTGGAGGGAGTTTAGGGTAGAGTGTTAGGGTTCGTGATTCTTGGAAGAAAGACTCCTGACTCAGATGGTATGCAAAAACAGAGTGTTTACTCCGTTGACAACTCCAGCTGGAGTCGCCACCTTCACAAAACAGTGGCAACCTAGACCTGGACGCGCAGGCCTTATTTATAGATCCTCAGGGGAATTCCAGGGATGATT